AAAGTTTATACATATCATAAAAACTGTCTCCACCATTCTTTTCACCGAAAACTGTAATTGACTAGTAATAAAATCTGATCCTTTTTAAAATATTAATATAATTAATTATTAATAAATATATATAATATACTTTTAAATAAAATTTTTAAATAAATTAAAAACCTGTAAATTTATGTATTTCTTTAATACAATTCTATTTATAATTTAAAAGAATATATATATTAAGTTTTTTATTAGATGATGTTATATTATTAAAAGCATTTTTTAATAAAAGAGCTCTTTTTAACATTATATTTGTAGAATTCTAATGGGTTTTAATAGGATTTCTCAAAATTAAATTAAATGAAATATTTAAGTAATTTGAATTTGATTTGATTTTTTCAAATTGAATTGAATTGAATTAAGCTCAAATATTTGATTGAATCAAATATTTGTCAAATCAAATCAAATTAAATCAAATATTTGATTGAATCAAATTGAATTAAATATAAATTTTTTTTTTGATTTTTACAGTGATATATTAAAATAAAGTTATTCTAAAGTTTTAATTATAAAAATTATTAGTAATTACACTAAAAATTTCAAAGATAGCTTTTACAAGGTAAGTTTAATAACAGGTAATTTTTATTATTAAACTTTGTAAAATAATTCTACAGTCTCAGTTTTACTAAGAATACTTAGTAATAATCGCTATTGCAACTTCAGTTTATTAAGAAAACTTAATAATAATTGTTATTTTAATTTTGTAACTATTTTATTAGTAAAAAAATATTTTCAAAGTTGTAGACATATTTTTTTTACTAGGTTTCTTAGTAAAAAAATGTCTCTGAAGCTGTGAAGTCATTTTTTACTATGTTTTCTTAGTAAAATAATTGTTTCCAAAGTCACAGAGGCGTTTTTTACTATATTTTCATAGTAAAAATAATGTCTCTAAAGCTGTAGAGGCATTTTTTGCTATAGTTTTCTTAGTAAAAAAGGTATTTCTAAAGTTATAAAGGCGCTTTTTACTATGGTTTTCTTAGTAAGAATCACTCCTGAAGCTTTAGAAATTGCTTTACTATTAATTCGAATCAAATCAAATATTAAAATACTTGATTTGAATTTGATTGAATCAAATTAAACATTAATTTAGATTTAATCAAATAAATCATTCTTTGATTTGAATTTGATTGAATCAAATCAAATATTTAAATATCAAATTGAATTTCAGAACTCTAGGTTTTAATATTTATAATTAATTCTAATTTTTAAAGATTTAAAGCAATATATTGTTGATAAAATCTTTCAAGTTATTAAGATGAAGCACAAATTTTTACTACTAATTTTTTAAGCTTAATAATCATAATAAAAATAAAATTTAAATTAATTATTAAGTATTATTTTATTAAATAATAGAATATAACTTATTTTATATATAATATTTTATAAATTTTCATCAATTTCAATCTCTTCAATTGAGGCATTTTTATTATCTAATCCTAATGCATTAAGATTTTTATGTACTTTTTTACAGCTACATTAATAATATAAGCAAGACATTTAACATATTGATGATATGCTCATTTAAACTTAAAAAATTTTTTTATAGCATTGTATTTATTATCACATATAATTGCTAAAATTTAAAAATAAAAATTTAAACTTATTAAATATAATATAAAAAATTAAAATTTTGCAAAATTTCTAAAAATTTATTTGCTAAATTTTCTCTAGAATGTAAATCTGAAAAATGACAAAAGTCTAAAATAGTACTTTGTAATTGCCATTCATTATTAATCTAGTGTATTGAAATTCCAAGAAATGGAAGTTTATTTTTACTTGTTCAAGTATCAATTGTAAATGAAATAAACTAGATATTTTCTATCAATTTTAATATAAATATTAATAATTAAATAATATTAATTTAATTTATTAATAAAATATTTACCTGTAATTTTTGATATACATTATCTTTTATTTATATAAATTTGCATTTAAATTATATCGTAAAGTATCTGCTGATGGTAAATTTAAATCAAATTTAAGATATGTTAACATATCTATAATTTTTTTTACTTCAATAAATGTAAATAATTGATTATCAATTATTATCCAATCAATTAATTTTTTTTCTAAATCCTTATGATGTAAACTTTTCTTTTATTTGTAATAGTTTATTATTTTGATAAATGAGAAGTGATCAGTAGAAAAGGAAAAATCCAAATTTTGATTAAAATTTATATTATTAAACCACTTAGCTGATCTTGGTCATATGCACAAAATTAGCTTAGTAATTAAAATTAACAAAAATTTTGAATTTCCCACCTTTTCTACTAACTGCCTCCCAAATATTTGGTTAATGCTTTTTCACATGTTTCCATAATGTTGAAGTAAATTTATTACCATAGTTTTTGCTATTTTAAAGTTAATATTAATTAAAATTTCAGTATAAAAAATACTTACTTGCAATAATTGCATTTTCAATGACTAGTTATAGAATCCAATGTAAAATATTGATATATTTCTGAAGTTCTTTTTTTATCAATTAAAGATGGTTTTTGCTCATTATCAGAAGATAAATTTGTTTGGTTATTTTGTTATATGATTTTAATAATATTAAATTCAATACTTCAATTAAAAATCTATTATAAATTCATTTAAAAAGATTGAGATTTCCTTTAAAGAGAAAGATATAGGAGTCTTTTAAGAAAAATCATAAAGGCTTTTTTCCTTCTAAGAAAAACCACACAAGCAATTTTTCAAAAAAAAGCTTCTAATAACAATTTTCTATAAGGAAATGCCTCTAGTAATGATTTTTTTTAAAGGAAAAGCCACAGAAACAATTTCATTTCACAGATGTAATTTCTTCAATAAAAATACTTCAGAAAACGATTTTTATTAAAGGTAAAGCCACAGAAGCGATTCCCTTTAATGAAAAAGATACAGAAATAATTTTTTTAATAGAATGCCGCTGAAAATAATTCTCTTCAAAGAAATGCCTCTGAAAATGATTTCTTTCAAAGACATGTCTCCAGAAACAATTTCATTTAATAGAAAAGCCATAGAGGCTATTTCTTCAAAAAAACGCTTTCAGAGCATAAATTTTAAAGAAAATGCTTCTAGAGTGTTAATTTTAAAAAAAAAAGCTTCAGAAGTGATACTTTTAAATAATAACGTTTTCAAAGTGATTTTTTTAAAATTAATGCTTCTGAAGCATTTTTTTTTAAAAGTAATGCTTCAGAAGTGTTTATTTAAAAGAAATAATTTGAAAATGTTATTCTTTGAAAAAACGTTACTAGAATCATTTTTTCTTTAAAATAAACTTTGTCAGAATCATTTTCTTTGAAGAAAACATTGTTAGAATCATTTAACTTTGAAGAAATCTTTGCCTAGAATATTGTTCTTTGAAGTTAATCTGCTGGATTTGGTATTTTTGAAAATAAAAAATTCAAGCTGATGAGTTAAGCTGCATTATAAGCTGAGCTATGATACAAGCTGGCTTAATCAACTTGTGATCATTTTATAGTAGCTCAAGCTGAGCTTTAGCGAGCTGGCTTATAAGGCTTGTAAGTTAGCTTAACTTATGAGAAACTTTATAAATGATAGAACAACTAAATTAAAATCTTTCAGAAATCAAGAGTCTTATAAAAAAATTCTTGTATGTATGAATCTTGCATTCAGAGGTTTTGATACTCTTTTGTAGATCATGTGATACTTTTTGACTTTCCTACCGATAGGTACCACATTCAGTAACCAAAAAAAAAGAATTTATTGATCCAAGTGTATTTTAATTTTTCATATATTGCAAACATTCCTATAGCAGGATTGGAAAGTACAGTGTTAGTACAATGATTAATAAAGTTAGTACAGTTAGTACATTATAATAATTAATATAAAAATTAGTACAAGTACAGTGCAAGTGGTAATTTTATCTAGTACACCATAGGTTTCACTAATTTAAGCTCTAACCCTAACCCTAACCTAATCCTAACTAATATTAATTATACCAGCCAATCAGAACTAATAAGCAAAACCTAAATGCTAATCTAATATTTCTTTAGGTTGGATTTGGAAATATATTCTGTTATAACATTATTTTGTGTCAGATGTTTTTCACACATGCTAAAGATTCGGAAGAAGATATAGATTGATTACATTATTTGGATAATTTATTTCACACACATTCGCCAAAAAAAAAAAGGTTGAGCTGGTTGGCTAAATATAATTCAACGTTATTACGCGGCGTAATTTTATATATGATCGGATCGCGATCTAGACCATTTTCCTGAGATCGTTAACATCCCTAGTAACTTATCACACATTTTAGACGCGAGTCAGATTTCCTAAAATATTAACAATTCGACGAGTTTTGAGTGTGCTAACACGTTTTTATTTAAAAGAAACGCTTTCAAAGTTTTTCTCAAAAGTTTAAAGTTGAGAAGCGGTTTGATGACATTGATACAGATTACTGCTAATCTGCTGTTTAATGTGTGGACTCCTTTAACGAAGATCAAAATTTTGTTGGGAGTAGCTTTTATGATTCTCCTCAGGTTTATTTGTTAGAAATTTAGAAATTACGGTTGTCCCATATTTCTTAGTACGTTCTTCTAACAAATTTTATGCAATATACTGTACGTCGCCTAAGGCTTTGCACAAGTTAACTATAATGAACAAGGAGTAATTATATCAGTCTTAGAACGAAAGGCCATAATTTTATCATAATACGTAATATATATATTTTACATATATTTTTTTAAAGCGCTGAAAAATTTTAATTTTTTCATGATTAATTGTTTTAAGTAAAAATGTAAATTCTTTATTAATGAGAATGATGAGAATTCTAATAAAATGATGTGAAAACTATCGAAGAACCGAATCTATTTCAATAATAAGTAATTAAGAATGATAAAAAATTTCTAAACTAACTTTGTAATTGGCTTTATTAATAATACAATAATATATTCTAAATTATTTAATACAATTAAATTATTTGATAGAGAAATCAGTAACAAAATCGCGAATTATTCCAAGATTATTGTAATGCTTCCACTCAACCTTAATATATGAATCAATAAAAAGAATTAATTAGAATTTAATTTTCATTAAAAGATTCAACCCATTCTCATACCTTGCAGCGTAACTTGAATGTTCAGAATTCACCACCAAGTCTTCTTTACCATCACCATTAAAATCAAATTTAATCATTTTATTTCCAAACTTGGCTTGATGTTCTCTTCCAACCAAACATACTTCTGAAACTAAAGATTGTATTAAGGATTCCATTGAATATTTAAATATTTGTCCAGATTCTAAAAGGAACAAAAAAAAATTTATTCATCATTCATCTCTATTCAAAATTTCATGTCATATACACATTTAATAATTTACTTACCCCAATAAGTAAATGGTTCAGAAACCCAAAAGGATTTCTCATTTTTATCCCATAATAATGAACTACCAAGACGTGAAGCACTTTCTGATCCGCGTAATAATGCCAGTAATCCTCTTCCTAAGTTCATATCATCATCAGATAACTTTTTATCTTCCTTAAGAGATCGCATGTTAATTAATCTTATTGCTCCTGCTTGCCAAAAATTTCCAAATTTAGGAAACTTTTTCTTATGCGTCTCAGAATTTGAAGCAACAAAAATAAAACTTTCTCCATTATCAAGAAAATCTCCGGCAATAATTGAACTATTTATAATTAAAAAAAATATATATATATATTTATTTTTTTTAATTATCTTAAAATATATTATTTATTTGATTATTTGTTATCAAGTTTACCTTCCAAATCCCTGGAATTCCTCAACTCCACTTAAATCAAATATTTTTTTTACAGGACTTTTTCCACTTCCATCAATTTTATCAACAATTTCAAATCCGTAAATTCTACCGGCCATTGGTATAATTGAATGACCATGATATCCTGGTGCCCCAACAATTATTATAGGATTTTGCATAGATTCAGATTTATAATAATTTATCGAGTAACCAAACCATTCGTATTCATGATCACCCGGACTTATTATCGACCAATCGTAATCATAAACCGTTATATTTCCTTTATGATCACTGGAACTTAGGAATGCGAACACACCTCCAGTATGCAATAAGATAGTCTAATAAATATTTGAATTTGAGCATAAATGGTGTGAAAAGTTTCTTTAAAAAAAAAAAACTACTCGCCTCTTTCTCTTCACTATACATTCCACAATAAGGGCATCCAATTAATAAATCGGCAAATCCATCACCATCTACATCCCCAGCACTCATGTATTGCCCAAGTGCTTCAATTTGCCAGTCGTATTCAGATACGTTCTGTTTTGAATGAATTTCCAAATCAGCCGCATCTGTCTTTAACCCTTCTTTTTTCCTTCCAAAATAAACATAAACTTTCCCGCTGTAAATATATTTATTTGCACCGAATGATGGTGCAGATACCGCCAAATCATCTATACCATCTTTATTTAAATCCACAACACTCATTGACCAACCGAATCTTGATTGTGCTTCATTATTATTTTCATCTCGCGAATTGTATGCATATATTATCTTATCGGCAATATCAAGAATGTTTGATGATTTTAGTGGAAATTTAAATGATCTTGATTTTCTTCCATTTATTATGAATATTGCCCCAACTTGTGGTATTTCCGGTAGGTGCGAATAGAATGGTGCGCTAATTGCTAAGATTGAAAAAAAAAATTTTTTTTTAAATTATTAGAATTTTCTTCATACGCGATAACGATAATCTAAGATTAGATTTAATACGAAAATGTGATGTCACCTAAATCTTGAATCCCATCCCCATTGAAATCCCCAACCACCATATCATGGCCAAAATGAGCATAAGAGTAAGGAATATTTATGGTAAGGACTTTGTTTGGATCATTGGGAATTAGATGACATGCAGCATCAGTGGAAATATTAGATGAATAGGAATAGGATGAAGGTGAAAAAAGATCCGAATTTGTCCAAGGTAAATTTATCGAAACATTATTTTCATCCGATAATGATATTTGTTCATCTTTTGTCAGAACGTCTTGAAATATTTGATCAAATCCGTACTCTTCCACTTTTACATTTTTTTCATTTTCTGAAGAAGCGGCATCTTGCAATTCAGGTTCATTCGTAATCGGGTCTGTTAATAAATGACGATGTATTTCGAAAGTACCAATACCATTTTTTTTATGATATCTTATACGATATCCAGTGATCTCCAACAGTTCCTCGGAATAATTGTATAAAAAATTTGTCACATCATCATGAGTGTGAAATTTATTCTCTCGTTCCTTTCGTTTTTCGGCTACCATTCGAAACGTATTACATAATTCATCGTTATCATTAGGTCCGAATTCAAACCATCTTGCTAATTCGTGCCAACAATCCGTTACATCTGCAGCCATATTGTTGAGACCTAAAAAAAAAGGTACGTCGCCTTAATATATATTATTTTTTTTATGAATTACAAACAATAAAAATCCCTTACCCCCTTTATGGTATGCTTCGAACATTTCAATTAAAAATGGAGACTAAATAATGACTTGTTTAGTGAATTCTAAATGATTCATTGAAAATGCAAAATAATCAAAAATATCCTACATGATATCTTGATTTAGAAAGGTTTAAAATAAATTACCATTTCACCATAATACCCAAAAAAGTGTTTACCAAAACGCTAAATTAAATAAAAAGATAAATGAATTAGAATGAATCAAAAAATTTACTCTGTTCCATATTTTTATTTTAAGTAATTTACTTTATTCATTTGAGCCGCAGCAAACGCTTTTTTAACACAAATTTCGATTTGATTTCCTTCAACGGTTCGATTTAACCGTTGATAAATTTCCACCAAATCATCGATCGGAAGACTCCATGCATCCTAAGAAAAAATCACAATTCTTTTTAATAAAAATAAAAAAATAAAATAAAAAAGAAAAATATAATCATTACTATGAGATAATCCAAATTTGTCATATGAGCTAATGTAAATTCTCCTCCAGTATCAGCCACCTCATGAGCCGCTGCATAACTATTCATAAAATTTAAATATGCCATTGCACGTATAAACCCAGATTTCATTTCTATGCTATGCCAGGTTATATCCGCAACTCCATGAGAAATGACTGCAAAGAAAAAAGATATCACCTCCTAATAAGCATTATAAATAATTATTTTTTTTTTTTTGTTAAATTTGGAAGGATTCAAAAAAAAAGAGAAATTGCTGCGGACCTGCGCCACATTATCTTGTTCCCAGGTAGCGGTGTTATATTTTTCGCGAATATATTCCACACTAGTTTTCATGAAAGGCAGCCAATGCGCTAAATTTAATAACAAAAATAAATTATATTACATATTTTTTTTTTTTTGATTAAAAGTTTATACCATATAGAAATTCATTATAAACCTTCTTCGGAATTATCCTCATTTCCCATACAACCGTATCCCCTAAAATGATGCAAATTTTAAGAGGAATTCTTTAATAAATATAATTAGACAAAAAAAAATAAAAATAAAAATAAATTATTTTATTTTTACCAGTCTGGAAAAAAAGACCCAGCCTTTAAAAGAATAGAAATGTAAAAATTCCGTAAAAATGATTACATATTAATTAAATCACTTACAATTATCATGTAAAATAATCGGATGTTTTGTTTCTTTACCTGAACAAATCCAGGATAATTATGTAAATATTCAGCATATTTATTGTACTCCGGTATTATAGGACGAAACGTGTACATTGCTCTTTTCGTTACTTCATTATGTACACTCATGCCACATCCATAAACCACTGATACGAATGAAAGGAAAGGGTATAAAAAAAATCGAAAATGTTTCATGCTCTTTTTTGCGGCAATTTTCTTATTACTGCGGCGAGTTGTAGAAATTTTATGAGGAGAAGAATTTTTAAAGAATTTCAATCAAAATGGATAAATTTAATATAATACTTATTTGAAAAAATGGGGGGAAATTACAAATGAACTGTTTACAATAAATTTTCTTGTTTCAACAATAATAAAAGTGGGCTTTTTTATACATATATATTTTCGTTTAAAACCAGTATATTCATAAAAGTATTAGTCAATTTGAAATTTTTTATATTGTATGAGATCAAGAAAAGTTTTGATCGTCCGTAAATATGTTAATTCACTCGAGTAGAGTAATGTAACAACATAAATAATCGAACTGATAAAACAAATTTGGATATAAAATATACTATTAATGGTTAATTAGAAATTATGAATCGTTCAAAATGGGTTGATAAACTTGTAATAAATCTTCCCTTATTGGATTTAGTTTATTAACTATATGGAAAAACTGAACAGAATATATATCACGACAAAACTATTTGTAGGATTCATTTGTGGCGGAAATCATCCTTTTAAGTCTTTCCTCACTTACCACGTTTATCATATATTCGCTATTGTGATGAGCTCTACTCATATGTATGGTTGAAATTTTGTGCTCCATAACAGAACAGATAGCGGTACTTGCTGATACATGCATTTCTTCTAATCCGACAGCAAATAGAATCCTTTCTATGTTTGACTCTCGAATTCCTGGATTGTTAAAAAAAATTTGTAAACAATTGCCTAAAAATGTTTATATTCTACGGAGAGACTGAAGCAAACCTCCGCCGGGCATAATTGTAATGCGACTGTTAGCTTGTTTCACTAATTGCACAATGGTATCTAATCCTTCTAAAACGGAGCTATCATGTCCACTTTGTAAAATAAATGATTGTTCTAGAAATTAATTAATTTTTTTTTATTTTAATTCGTTACTTTTGTATTGTATTACCTACCTTGTTAAAATTCTTTGAATTCCTCCAATTGAAATGATGTCTTCAAGGGCTTTGAATGGATCATTTGTCATGTCAAAAGCTCGATGAAAGGTCACTAAGAAATCACATATATTTGTAAATCACAAGTTCGTGCGAAAATAAAACGATATTTTTTCAAGAATAAATTAACCTTTCATGGGTTTTGCCAAATCGACTAACCTAAAAAGATCAATCATATTATCAATAGAAAGACAGACTTTTTTTTGAAAATTTTTGAATTTTTTACTTGGAGACTCTATCGACGTCTACACTTCCGTCAGGATACAAGATACCAAAAACGACGCCATGTACCCCAAGAGATTTTGCGTGCCGAATATCTAAGCACATAACTTTAATTTCATCTTCACTATAACAAAAGTCACCACCTCTAAGATAGATAGAGATATATATAGTATTGTATACAAATAAATAAAAAAAATCGACATTGAGTTCAACAAACCTAGGTCTTATCATAACCTAGTAGAAATAAATCGGGCAATGGTTTGTTTCATTTTGATTAAATATCATATAAATTCAAACATTTAACAGTTAACTTATTTTACCATGACGGGAATTTTCACTCGTTCGAGAATTGTGTTGATCATTCCTAAGTTTAACCACATGAAAAGAATGTGTGTTTATTTTATATAAGATGGAAAGTAACGAAATAATACCTGAACTTGGAGTAGTTCCACCTTCCATGAGGTTATCGCATAACTCAACACGAGATGCGCCACCTGATTCTTTTGATTGAAATGGATTGAATTTTGAAAAAAAATTTTTTTTTGAAAAGTGAAAAACAAAATATAAATCATATACAATACCCGCATTTATAGCAGATTGTACCGAATCGACACACACCTTTATTGCAAAAAAAAAAAAGAAAAGGAAAAAACAACTTTTTATTTTATTTAATTTAAAAAGTTGTACACACATATATATACCTCAAATGTTGGAATTTTTTTTGACATTGTTTTTTTTGATATCGATCTCTATTGACGTGAGAAAAAATACCTGCATTTATGTTTATTTATAATCTGCAATATCTGATGCACAGACCCTGCCTGTAGTAAACTGCGGAGATTAGTTTAATGTCCTAAAATGGGAACGTCAAAAAAATTTTTTTTTTTTAAAAAAAAAAATGGAAGACCTTGAAGCAGAAATACCTGATTTGGTGGAAGTCATTCCAGAAACGAGTAACGCGTATGTCTATTCTTTTTAAAAAAAACACATCTGTAATTGTAAATTTAACTAATCATTTGTTTGTCATAAAGCAATTCTGATCATGAAAATAAAGACAACAAAACGCTTGAATCAAAAGTTCCAGTAACTATAGTTACGGGTTTTCTTGGATCCGGTAAAACTACCTTACTCAATTACATTTTGACAGAGCAACATGGCAAGAGGATGGCGGTAATATTGAACGAATTTGGAGAAAGCAGCGGAATAGAAAAATCCTTGACAATAAATCAGGGAGGCGATTTATATGAAGAATGGTTGGAATTAAAAAACGGTTGTTTATGTTGTTCCATCAAGTAAGTCTATTATTATATATTGTTTTCTCTCTTTCAGATAAACTTATTCAACATTTAATAATGATAAATGAATGACAATCGATAGAGATAATGGAGTTAAAGCAATTGAAAATTTAATGCAAAAGAGAGGAAAATTCGATTATATTTTATTGGAGACAACTGGATTAGCAGATCCAGGACCAATAGCTTCAATGTTTTGGTTAGACGATGATTTAGGAAGTGATTTATACTTGGATGGCATAATAACATTAGTGGATGCTAAATATATTCAACAAGTAAATTTTATGAATGGAAAGCATTATAATCGTAATATACCATTATATTTAATTTTATTAATTATCTTTTTATTAAAGTATTTATCAGAAAAAAAGGTGGACGGATCAATCAACGAAGCATTAAGACAAGTGGCGATAGCAGATAAAATAATAATTAATAAAACAGATTTAGTCACACCGTCAACATTAGACATCATACAAGAACAAATAAGGTAACAAGTCTTATTTTGGTTATGTTAATGATAACACCTTACACTTTGCTGATGAGGTTCTTATGATTGATAATAGATTGATCAACTCGGCTGCTAATATATTAAGAACAGAAAAGTCAAAAGTTCCATTGGATTTCATTTTAGACATTCATGCTTTTGATTTTAAACAAGTTACGGCGTTAAATTCAGAATCAAAAATTTTGAATACTGTAAAAAAATCTCATAAGATAGAAGATGTAAAAACCATATGCCTGTCGGAATTTCCTGTCACAATTATTGATATATCGAAAATTGAACGTTGGATACAATATTTATTATGGGAAAAGACTATTCCAATGATAACTACTTCTGACAATATCGTTATACTTAGACTTAAAGGTATTCTAACTCCTAGTGAAAGCTCAGGTATACGTATTGTAATTCAGGGAGTCCAAGAACTTTATGATTTACAACAAACTCATCCTTCGTTTAACAATAATGAAATAGTTAAAGATAAATTAGTTCTTATTGGGAAAAATTTAGATCATCAAAAACTAGAACTTTCTTTATGGAATTGGATGAATTGGTCTTGATCTATTAAAATTTCATTTATTCATTTATTTATTCTAGAACTTTCTTTATGGAATTGTCTTGATCTATTAAAGTTTCATTCATTCATTTATTTATTTCAGACAATAAAGGAAAACTTAAATAAGATACAGATTTCTTATAAAGTAGTATAAAGGACACGTTTATTTAAAAGATATCGTCTTCATCATCTAACAAATATGGTTCATGATCCATTGAATCGATATCCATCGAGATACTTGGGTCCCTAACATTAGAAAAATCTACCATCGCATTACGAGTCTTTCTATTCTTCTTATTTCTATTCATGAAAAGAAAGAAGCAAATCGTTGAATATTTATAAAATGATGATATTAAAATTACATCTCCTGACTTACTTTCTTAACATTACAAATATCCTTCCAAATTGTATCAAATTTCTTGCAATTAATAAAATTGAATCAAGTATTTCTTCTCCTTTGTGAGAACATCCACCTCCAATGATAAATAATAAAGTAATAACACATAAGGCTACGAGAATTATGTCAATTATGTTGTAAATAGAATTCCAGAATAACTAGAATAAAGAAGAGAATTAAAGCTCTTTCGAAATTGAAATTATAGATTCAGGATAGTTGTTCATAAAAATTGATTTAAAACCTTTCCTAATGCCAAGAATCGTGTCCCAACTTCTAATATCATTACTGTGTTAATTATAATTTCAAGAGTGATAAATCCTAGTGATGGACTAAAAATTTAAAAGATCAAATTTAATAGATCAAATCAGCTTCTTTCATATTAAAGAAAATTCGTTGAAATAAACATACCATTTTTCTTTTAATGACTATTGTTAAATAAAGGGAAATGTTATAATCGATCTATGATATTGGTTGTTAAAACTAACAAAATGAAAAGAAAAAGCAACAAACCAGAATGATGGAAATCGAACTAAGTAAAGCCATTCCTAAATATAACCAGGTATAAAATCTTGAATATATAATTCTATTTGCTATTCCGTGAACAACCTCTCTTTTTGATAGAGAATATTGTGTATGGGGAGTGATGCTTTTTTTTTAAAAAAAAATTTATTAAAAGGTAATAATTAGACGTAAAATTATTTTACAAAAAAAAAAGGTTGATAAAACTTACGGCGGGTTTGAATTATTAATAAGGATTGTCGTATCTGTATTCGACATGTTGAAAGAGAATAACGGGGTAAAAAGAACGAAAAAAAAGTCAAAAGTAAAAGAATGAAATGATTTATTTTAAGCCTCTTCATACAACGATACAATATATACTCGGTTAATTGTCGATCTGTCACCTGTTGATCATTCCTTAAAACAAATTCGAGAAAATCATTGTTTTATGAATTTCGGAAAACTGCCTATCAAAGGCACTATTTAGAAGATTTCGATGATAAGCATTTTCATTATAATTAATACAGTGAGAACGCAACCTTGGGACCTTAGTGAAAATTTGAAAAAGCGTGCTTTTAAAGAGAGCGTGCATTAAAAGAGATAATTTTATGATATTTATAGACTTGGGACTGTATACATGCATTTAGGGAAGGTGCATTCACGAATAAAATAAATCGAGTTGATTCAATTTGTGAATATAACGAAACAAGTCGTATCATTTTTTTAATGCTAATCAAATATAAGTAATTCTTGGATCGTTTTAATTATTTATACATTGACGTTAAAAAACGATCCTTTATAATATACCAAATACCTTATATAGTAATATATGTAACCTAAGGGTTTTGACCCCTAAAATATTACCTAATACAAAAGAATTAATTGTATAAAAACCCACTAATCGGGAATAAATTTTATATAAATAATGCGTAATTCTATCGGAACTCTTTTTTTGATTCCTTTGACACTATTCTGTTGGCTTCGCGCATATTACGTATATAAAGAAGCAAATTTTTCACTTTTTGTAACTGAAAATGAAAAGCCATCACAAATTTCGTTTTTGACAAGTGCTGACCCTGTTTTACAAAAGGTTGATAATAATACTTTGGGTGATAGTACAGATAATATATTTTATTTTATGCAGGTATTATTATTCTTTACTACTTTATAACCTGATGAAATACTTTAAGAAAATCTCACCAAAATTAGATCATTCTAATCATGTTCTTTATAGATTACCGACTTACACATATCGAAATTTCAGAAAACTGGTGGTACATCGCATTTCTTACATTTTCTCGCGACGGTTCTCCCCGTGATTTCATCACCTGCATTCGTTCTAGTCACTGGTGACTTGACTGACGCCAAAGACGAAAATTTGATAACCTCCCAACAATTCATTGATGAGTGGGTTACATATCATACCGCATTGCAGGTAATTAACCAATTTAATTTAGCTTTTGTCGATCCATCAAAATTTAATATTATGATACATTTTATAGGAGTCAGGTGTTCTTCATCGTCCAGGATTTTGGCATGATCTACGTGGAAATCATGATTGTTTCAACGTAGGGTCATGGGAAAGTGAACAAAACTTGTATAAAAAGTTTGGTGTAGGAAAACAACGAGGATTTGATTTTACATTTGAAAAGAATTTTGGCCGTTATAGATTTGTTGGAATAGATGCTTGGTAAATATATTATGTTTATATGGAAGGATTACTATGGAGATCGATTTGTGTAATTTTTGTTAAAAATTCTCAACCTGATTTTTCTAGTAATTTTCTCATATTATGATTTTGAACCTTTTACTAATTTTTTATTTATCGTTCTCAAAGTCCCAAGGCAGGTATAGCTCGACCTTTTAACTTTTTTGGCTATTATGAGACAGAAGATATGAATCGATTGGCTGAAACGTTGTCTAACGCGTCATTGTCTTCAAACCACACATTCCTCGTAAGTAATAATAAATTGATTTAATTTAATCTTTTATTTTATAAAAATATATGTTTATTTATTTATTTTATTAGCTTGCACATTATCCAACGGCGACAACTTTATATGGAAAAACCTCAAAAGGTGAAACTTTTGACGATATATCAAAGCATATTAGTGTTTATATGTGCGGTCATTTACATAAACTAGCTTGGGGTAAGCAATTTTAATTTATATTGTCTGGTCTGTATTTTATTTATGTTTACTCTATCTTATTATCTTTCCTAACTTAGGTTTGGGAGATCAATTACAAACATATCAACCAACCCATTTTATAGAGTTGGAATTGGCAGATATGAAGGTTAACGCTATTTATCGTATCCTTGCGATTGATCATGACCTTGTAAGTTTTACAGATGTAGCATTGCCATTACATGAAATTCCATTGAAGGTACCACCATCGCCTGCACCAGGATTTTCGGTTTTGCCAGAAAAGTTAGCATTTCCTCCGGTAATATTAGTAACAAATCCGAAAGATTCTAGATATTTAATGAAATATCATGAACCAGTACATATAATTAAAGAAAGTACGCATATAAGATTATTGGTGTGGTCAGATCATGACATCAAAGAGATTGAGATATTTTTGGATGGAATAAGGCATCATGAACAGGTTTCTTACAAAGGCAATTCGAAAGATAATAGAGTTGACCATATTCCACTATGGGTATCGCCTTGGAATCCAAAACAATTTGATGATGGGCAAGAACACTACATTATTGTGAAAGCACGTGATATAATAGGACAAGAGGGAGAAAGCAAAGTGATATTCCGTGTTGATGGAGAAAGAAGTGATATGAGAGGTGGTATAAGTGAATTTTTGATCGGTCTCGATTGGGCTCTTGTGGTAAGTTTCTAGTTTAAAATTTTCGTTTCGATTATTATTGCCCATTTTACTTAATTTTCAAAATTTTACTACATAGATTCAAACCGCTTATATTTTTGGATATTTGTTTATAACTTTAAACATGCTTTTTACAAAGCTTTATCTTGCATTCCACCCACGCCATCCACTTCTTCTGTCATCATTTCATAATTCACCGAAAACTTTTGTTCAATCGTATTTTAGAAGAACATTTCTTTTAATATCACAACCTATTTTTTTTTATACACTTTATTTCTACCTTCTATCTTCGATCACTCTCCCGTGGTTTAAGGGAGACATGATACCATCAGCTGCTGAGGAAGGAAATGATGGAATTGGGATATTTTGGTTATTTGGAATTCAACTTGATTCCAACTCACAATGGCTTCCAATATTTGATACATGGCGATATGCGTTAGAAGACCAATTGTTTTTGTCGGTTGGCATTGTTATAATCTGGTTTATGATAATTACAGGGGAAAGAAAGTGGAAGAGAAGATATCCGATTTTGATTTTGGGATTTGCACTTTGGTTATGGAGGGGGTCGTCTTTGATAAATTTGGCAAAACAATATGGAAATTTGGCTATTTGGACTAATTTACAGACATTATGGTGGGCATTTTGGGGTTGGTATGGATTTTTAAGAGGAACATGATTTTGTCCTTTTTTATTATTATTATTATTATTATGATTATGATTATTATAAGAACATATTATATTAGATCAATTATAGTACTATTAAAAGGTAATTAGTCATTAGAAATTTAATAATTAATATAATTAATTCATTTTTACAATAGTTTCATTTAACAATTTCGTAGTAATATAATAAATATGCTTTATTTTTAAATGCTAATTATTTTTTTGTCTTGAAATTATCAACCCATTGTTCGATCCTTGACGCGTTACTTTCCATATCTTGTATTGTATTACTTTGTAATTCCACAACAATTTCATTAGAATATGATTCCCTTGCTTCTTCTAATATTACTTGAAAGATTTCACAATCAATATTTTCCGTGATTTTTTTTTGTGAATATCCTCTATAATGTAAAGAAAAATTATTGTTAAATTTCATCACTAAAATATAAATGAATTAATTCAATGGTACATACCGTTTTTCCAAACGATTATATAATATAGTGTTGTCAGTTCTTAATACCAAAACCAAATCAAACCAACGTTCCGGAAATAGATCGCAAGAATGAAACTCGATTATATTTCCACCCTTTGATACGACTTGTTCTAACTCATCAATGACCTATAATATAATCATTAATTTTATTAAAGTAGATAAGAATGAATTATGAAGCTCTTAAATTACCTTGTCGTCATCTAAAATATAACTCTGAAACTCCTGGTCAAAACCTTCATGCAACCCTTTCTCTTTTACCAACTCACCCACATTTATGTAATATAGACCGGTTGCTTCCGAGGCTAGTTCTGCTAAAGTTGATTTACCCGTTCCCGGAGTTCCTGTTATCAAAATATTTGGATTTGTGCTAAAAAAAAAAATGAATAATTTTTATTTTTGATTATTTTTTAATTGAATGGGATGAGATAAAAACAATGAATTTGAAAACTTAATTCACCGTTCAGAAGACGCGCCTTGTTCATTATCAGACATTATTTAAATGATTTAAAATGAAAAAATAAAATAATAGGTTTATGAATTTGAAATCTTTTACATATAATGCAGGCCAAAATTTATCATAATACCGGTCAAAAACGTCATAATGTGGGTCAGGGCATTCGGATGATATCGTATCAAACACTTTGCTCGTAGATATGATGAATATTCTATGGATCATTATGATATTCGTCAATTGGGATGTGAATCAATTAGGATATGTTCATCAGAAATTTCAGGTAATGATATCTGAGCTTTGAATATGCCTTTTTTCTTATTTAATACTCACTAGTAAGAAGGATTGATAAATTTGTAATCGAAAAAGATCGAAAGCTAAGTGATCTTTGGAAAAGTTAGAAGTTATTTTTTCATTACTTCAAATCAGTGAATTAATAAAATTTATTTAAAATAATAAAAATAAAATAAATTAGAACTTTTCACAAAATTTGAATTCTATGCAGGAATAACTTGTTGCAAGAATTTAATAACATCTTTTGTTTCTTCTGGGGAAGATTCATGTTGCATATTATAAGTTTTGAATGTTATAGGGTATCCTTTTGATTTAAGAAGATCATGTGATAACTTCCCAAGTCGATAAGGTACAGTCTTGAAAAACAAAGTTGAATCAGTAATCTAATCAACAAAAACGAATTAAATTAAAGATCAAAAGGAAATACCTGATCCATATCACCATGACCAATGAAAATAGGTGTATTCTTATTTGCATCCGTGGCCATCTGTATAAAGAATCATTTGATTAATGAATACTAATCACACGACAAAAAAAAAGATGATAATCTTACCGTTAATGTTTTCTCTTTTAAAGGAAGATATCCACTTAAACTTTTTCATAATTGATAATTACTTAAGTATTTAAAATAAATTTAATAAAAAGGTGTAAATTCTAAGCAAATACCCTATAATTCCACCCAATGAATATTCGGATGATATCCCAACAGTAATCCCAACCGCTGCTCCCTGTGAGAAACCTCCAACGACAATTCGATTTGAAGGAATGCCAGCATCAATTTCATTACGTATAAGACGATTTACTAGATATAATTGTAAAAAAAAAATTCAATGATCCCGTAATATCATTGATGTAAGTAAATTGAATGTCACATCTACCTGAAACGACTGATGATAATACTCCTTCCTCATCTACTCGATTCTTGAGGATATCTTCGGTATCCCCTAATGTATAAATGTCATACCTTAAAGATTAAAGTTAGATAAATATTTATACAAATGACTGTTAAATGGAGTAAAAATTTAATTCAAAAATACCAAGATGGCATTTCCATGGCAAAATTAATTGTTACTGGTTGTACGGGACTAAACAAAAAGTGAGAATTTTAGATAGAAGTGTGAATTTATATATAAAACAAATAAATGGTTTCTTACGCGTTTGGAAGAACGAATTTAACGTGTTCCAATGTATCACCCATTTTTTTCGTCTCTGGAGCCCAGCCGTATCCGCTATCACCCAAGCCCTGAGAAAGTGTGACAGTAACATTGAAATAAAAGTTTTTTAAATAAATAAATTTTTGTTAATTCCCTACGTGTAGAAAAAATACGGTGGCTGTATGGAGTTTACGAGCATTTTGAACAACCGTAGTCAAACTTGAAGCCATTATATTTAATTAAAGGAAATAACGTTTTTTTAATGTTACCATTTCAGATTTTCATTATTTTTCTGTGAAATAGGGGGTGATAGCCTTTATTCTACATAACGAACTTCTTATTTGGGTACAGGAAAACCAGAGGTGGAAGACGATTAGGTAACAGCATCATTATTGCATATTTCGCAAACAAACTTTATTATCCAATTTCATTCTTTTTATGTTTCGATACTAAAATAAATTTAATAATTATAAAAAATTGTGCAAGTATTAAAAAAATCCTAGAGACCCTGATTATAATAAAAAAAACACGTAAAACGGAAAATTAAGAACAATACAAGTAACTTTGCCACCATCTCTCATTATTTCTTAGTCAACTTGTTCGTAATGCTTAATTATTTTTCGCTTGTCAATACTCCGAAGATAAAAAAAAGTAGAATTAATAGCTAATCAATATTTTCAGTTAAATCAATGGAAAACTTGTATTCTTTCATCTTTATCGATTCTGTTGGAAAAATAAAATAAAAATCATATTAATTAATTAATATTTAATAACAACAATAATAAAAAGTAGTAAATAATTACTTTGACGGTAATAAAATTTCAACTAAAAGTTTTCCTTCCAACAAATGATTGATAAATTTCTCGGCTTCAATTTTGGGACTTCACCTTCAATTTTTGCTGTATACGTATCATTCAAAATTTTTAATTCGAATTTTTAATTTTCTTTTTTGAAGTCCTGGCACGGCTAGGATAACTTTAAAGGTATCACTAAAATAACTATTTTTTTTTTTATTATCAAAGTAATTGCAGTAAAAACAATAAAGTTTCTAATTATACTTACGTCAACTCTCCTCCTTTTCTTAACTTCTTTAGTCTCAGAATGAACACTTTCACAAATTCCTAAATCTTGCATTTTCTCGATCATTCTAAATAATGAGAATAATTTTGATAAAAAAAAAAATTTTTTTTAAGCTAATTCTTAAAAATTTTACGAGAACATATGTGCCACCTGGAATAGGTTTTATTTTCAACTTCGTTAGGAAAAACTTGAGTATCATAATTCTTATTGAAATGCACGAAACCAGTCCTAATTTTTAAACTTCAATTTTTAGCTAAGGTTTATACAAATTCAATTTATAATATTTTTTTAATACACATACGTGCTTTGAAGCCTCTTTACGACATGAACAAAAATATAATCTTCCCTTCGTAACCATTTGTCTACACTTAAATAACCTTTTAATTCTTCTCCCTAAATAAACTTTTCTTATACTATTAACGAGTGACTGATCTGACTGATGCAATTGATACGCGTAAAAAAAGCGATAACTATTCACTTTTATGTCAAGAAAAAAATTACATGAGAAAAATAATACAAAGCTGGGACTTTGCTCATCATTCACATTAAAGCTCGTATTCTATAGCCGTTTCAAGAATAATTACCCGTTTTTATTATATTTTGTGATCAATGATATTAATTTTTGCAGATTAAAATTGAAAATATGGTTGAATTTTATTTATGATAAATTGGTGGCGGCACAAGAAATATAATTATGGCATTGAGCACTTATTCCATGGTACCCATTTCAATAGTATAATTGTAATTTTTCAGCGACATATATGTTCACTTGTCATGACTCATTTTGATTTACAAAACAGGAAAAATATTATACCAATATGTTTAAAAAAAAGTTATCAGATTTTTCGGTTAAATCATACAAATGATTTTTAGGAAAAAAAGAACAAATTTAGTATCATTCGCACTTTTTTTCTACGATTCCTCTCCCATTTTCTTCATATTCTTTTCGCGAAATCCACAATTGATGAAACGTTCCCAACGATGAAAGGATAGACCCACCTAACCAACTACTGCATTTACGTTCAATTGTGTTACCTGCTGCATGAAGTTTGATTTTCGACTATTTCAAAATATTAAAAATGTTAAAAACATTAATGTCAAAGGATTATGGAGAATAAAATTTTACTATTTACCGCTGGAGCCATTATGGATAATTCATGATTTACACGGTCAGCAAATCCAGGTAATAATGTTGTAGCCCCGGTCAAAATAATGTTATTCCACAAGTTTGTTCGAACATCAATGTCACAATTATTAATACTGAGATAAATCATTTGAGGTATCCCCATTAATGCCGTAGTATCAAAATGTGGTCCATCCTGAGGCTAAAAAGAAATAATTTATTTTATTAAAAGTATTCTCGACAAATTAGTAAAGATTTTAACCTGATATTTACCTGTGGTATAAATTTTGGATCGAACAAGATCTCTGGTATATTAAATCGTAGAGCACCAATTGATGTATTAAATCCGTCAGGAAATTCAAAATATTTCATTGGTCTTGTGTTGATTGATCTAAAATAAAAAGATTTTTTTAATAAATATTATATATATGATTATTATCAAATCAATTCAATCATTAATCAACTTACTGATGGTTGTATGTCACCTCAGATACTTGACACACAGATTCTTTGAATTCTTGCATTACTCTCTACACCAATATGTTCGCTGATAATCAGGCGATCAATTCATATCAACTTTGAGTCGTAAGCTTAATTTTTAAATCACTCTGAAATTATCTTACCATTTGCATGTACTTGTGATAGCTTTTTGTTGTATTTGGTCGTTCTTTAGGTATGAAATTTGCGGGTTGGTCAGGATCCACACTAGTTTTCTTTGCAATCTTATAATGCGGTACAACATTATCAAATCTCTGTTGTAATTGTTGTAAAAGTTGTTCCGATAAAAAATCACCAGCAATTGGTTGTTTATAAATCCCTATAAATTTATTAAAAGACAGTTATGTGCAAATGGTTCAGATAGTAAAAATTATGCGTAAAATATGCAAACCTTTTTTAAGAACATAACCATCAACAACTGGCACACAGCTCGTACTGCTTGCTCCACAATCCATAACAACAGCAGTTGGACGACCAGCTGCAAATCTATATAATGTACCGTCAAGGAAACATAATACGTGATTCATAAAGATTTGACAAATATTTACAAAAAGGATACGCTGAAAGTACCGGATTCTTTGCGACATAAAACGCTAAAGAATTGTATTTCTCGAATGCAAGCTCAGTAAGTTTTTCCCTAATATCTCTAGTATTCCAAGCACATTCAGTTACAAATATCGGATGTTCCGTTGGATCAATTTTTAATCTATCTTTCATTGCATAATCCCAAATCTTTTCTAACGCGTCCCAATCTTGAACTAAATAATAATAATAATAATAATAATAAAATATGAAACAAAAATCGTAAACTACAGTATTTAATAACAAACATAATTAATAACAAACATACTCAATCCATCAACAAGAGGATTCTTGATTTCCATATTCGGTCTCCATGCTGCCACATCCGCATCACCTATTATGTATTTATTATTTTCATTTTTTTTACTAGGCTTACTTTCAGACGCGGAAGCCGCGTCTTCCATTGGAGTATCAGAATCACGAGAGTTTTTTTCCTTTTCAATGTATCCATATGAAGTCGGAAAAACAGCTTTTGGAGTATCTTCTCCGGCATAACCTGCTCGAGTCCAACACGAGCCAACGTCTAAAACTATAGCCGAAACTTCATCTAAAATATTGTGTCGTATTATGAGAAATTTTTACGTGTAATTTTTTCGTGTTATATATATATATATCATTACTAACCTCCACCATATGTAGTAGACGACATTCTTTCAAAGTTGTTAAGGGAACGCTAAAAAATAAATAATTAATTAATTTTGAAATCAGTATACGTGATGAGTTTTTGCAGATCATTTCTAAAATTAATTGATTAAAAAAATCATTTTATCCCTCTCCCCAATCGTTCATATTTTTCAACAACTATTCTTTTTTTCTCTTCTTTTTCAGCTTCTCCTCTTCACAAAGGTTGTTTCTTCTCGTCTTTCTCCGTCATCTTCCCTTCTTCGAATTCCTCTCCAATAGTAGTTCAAAAGTGTAAAATTTAAAATTTAGACTAGGTTTCAGGATGCGTTGATTGAACATGAAAAAGTAAAGAAAAAGTTAATGAACAAATTGCATAAAAATTATACAAAAATTATTTTCCATTCATTCCATTTCATTTATTTATTATTTGGTATACTGTTTGCTAACCTTTTTTTGGCACTTTATTCTTTTTTTTTAGCCTCTGATCAAATAAAAAGATAAAACTTGAAGGATTTTATGCTTATATTTTTTGGCATAATTTTTATTTGATTTTTAATGCTAATATTCCTCCACAAACTCACATATAATAGATAACACAACGAATTTCCTAGGAGAACTCTTGCGTCCTTTTAATGAAAAAATTGGTTATTATATTCTTGAACAATTTCTTTCAAAACCGCTACTACTTAAATTGCCATCTCTCCCCAATTATGCTGACAATTTTTATGATAAGCTTGAATCTGTGATTTCAAGTGTTTTTTTTGTTGATAATGTTATGGGCAAATCCTTTAGATAAAGTGTTGGTGGGGAAGCATATACTTCAGATACTATCAATAACCACATTATGGATACGATTGATCTTGCCCAAGAATATGCTCTTGGTTGTAGTAATTTCGATTGGAATCGTACCAAGGTTATTAAATCTACAACTACTACAGAAAATAAGAGAGTTCGACCAGATGTCACAATCTATTATAATAGAGTGCTTGTTGAGGTGAAAGATGTTAATTCTCGGTTGGAAGATGCAGAAAAAGGCTTAGATGAATACTTTGATTTTTGGAATCCACCTGCCTTTGGTAGATTACCATTTGTCATGGCTTTTGCAACAGCTGGTAATAATTGCAATTTTATTATTATTATGTGGACAGCATAAACAATAAACCAGTACGTAAGAAAATTGGTACCCTTTATGTAAATCAGTGATATTGTTACAAATTAATGATAATACATATTGAAAATATACTTTTTGTATTATATAAATTGGTGATATTATTAATAAATTAAAGTATTATTTTTGATAATACATGAAAATTAGACTTTTTATATTCTATAAATCAGTGATATTATTAACAAATTAAAGTATTATTATAAATTAATAATAATATATATTGAAAATATATTTTTTGTAAATATATAAATAAGACCCAATTATCAATATAAATCAATAAATATTTTTTCTTTTTCTAAATGTTTTCAACAATATGACAAGATCAAAAAATCCATTTTGTAAAGATAACACAAAAGAACACAATATTATTCCTAAAATTACAAATATGTCAAGATCAAAAAAATCTGATAATAAAAGTTTTGCAAAAGATCGTATTACTCCTAAAACTAGGTATTTGGTTGAATGTAAATGTATTTTATATTGCTGTGATAGTAAATTAGTTAATTCTAGAACATTTAAGAATATCAGCAAGAATTAGAAAGATTTGTGTCATTACTTCTGAATCTTAGCATTCTATCTGATTAAGAAGCATTACAAGTAAGGTTGCTAGATGAAATCAAGAGTTTAGACAGACATCTAAATGGTAAAAGTAATACTTGGTTAAATTATATTAAAACCTTATTAAAAAATCTGCGAAATTTGGAAAAAGGTAAAACTATATCAAAGTTTATAAAAATGGCGAAACTATATCAAACACTTAGTAAAAATTTAGCGAAACTAAAGGTTTTACCATTTTGCCAAATCCAAAATAAGTTTAGACAAGCAACCTTAATTACAAGTAATAAGATTGATATAAAATCATAATTAACTTTGAAAGGAAAAGAAAAAATCAAATCAGTTAATCAATATCAAAATTCATCTGATAATTATTTTAGTGATGATCTAATTCCTTTTAATGAAAAACCAATTAATATACCAAAAAAATGAAAATGATATAATAAATTTCATGATCCTATTTATGATAAATTAGAACTAATTCTAATCGAAGAAGAAGAATAAGTTTACAATAAAAGATAATCACAGGTTTAGTGATAATAATTATAAGTTAAGTGAAAATGATATTTTGTTTAAGCAATTTACTACTCTTGATTTTGATGATTTTGATAAATCAGATCATAAATATTCTGACATAAATGTTCTGTAAATATTATTATAGATATTCAAGTTTAAGCAAAATTTTGCCTTTCTAATATTACTATTGATTTACTTATTAAGTTTTTAATATAATTTTATTAGATGCTAATCAGTCATACTTTAAAGACTTTTCTACAAGTTCTTATATGGTAAAAAAAATGATAGGAATTAATAAACAAGCAAAGATATATGCAGTATATTCAGATTGCAATACATTTTATAAAATTTCAGAAATTTTATAACAAATATGACTAATTAGAAAAATACCTAATTGATCAATATTCAACTTGTATTAATTAATAAAATAAAAGTGAATTATTATCATATATAGAATAGGAATATTAATATCAGTAATCAAATATAATAGTATATATCTAATTTTTCATTATTTATTATTTAACATATGGAAATGTTTCCAGTAAAATCAAGTCATGATAAATAGTAAATCATATGATCTGTAATGTAATTTTACTGAAAACACTCCCATATATTTAGAATATAAAATCCATACATTTTTCATATTTTGTGATCAATAAAAAATAATTCACCCCTATTTAGTTTTAATAAATTTGCTTAAATTAATATATTGAGATATATTTTTCATGTTTAATATATTAAATAATAAAGTAATAAATTTTTTAATACTAGTAATATTTTATAATATGTGTTTTAATAAATACTTCAAATACATAAAGTAAATAGTAATCAATATATTTATTATGCTTAATATGACTATTATATTTGATATAAATTATATATATATATTTACTTTTTATATAATATCTAATTAGCTTTATATCTTGTAATAATTTATTTAAATAAAAAATTATAATTATATGAGGCTTTTGTAATAAAAAAAAAAAATTACAAAAAAAATCAATTTTATTTTTATATGTTAAATACAGTCAAATCTTGATATAGCGAACCCTTGATATAGTGAATTTTTAAATCAAATATATTAAAATTACCTTTACTATAGTGAACTAGCCAATTAAATTCTTTAAAAAATTCGTTATAAGCTTATAATGAAGTTGATATTCAGATCCTAGAATTCGTTATATCAAGAGTTCACTGTATGATTTTTAAGTTAAACTCATTTTTATTTTTTGTTAGTTTTTTCTTTTTCTATTGCAAAAGTTTCATACATTCAAATAAAATATTTTTATTAAATTATTAAATACTTTATAAATTTATTTTAAAAAGATCAAAATCCTCTTAAATCTTTAAAATATCTATATAATTATCTTTAATTTAAATTATAAATACTATTCTTTTTATATTTAAAATAATTTCTAAAAATAATTTTTATAATATTTTTTTGGTTAAACAAATAAAAGATTTGTTCTTGAATTAACTTTATAATTGCATTTGTTTTATCTAAAAAAAAAAATGTTTGAAATTGATTTTTTTATTAAAAAAGTAGATTACATATTATTTTGGTTTATCAATTTGTTGATTATTCTTTACCTTTTTTTTAGTATTTTATATTATTTTATATTATATAACATAATTTATTTTAAAAAATTAAAATACTTATAGCTAATTTTAAGAATTTTTATTTAATAAATTAAAATATTAAAATTTTGCATAGAAACTTACAATTTTTATCAGAATGATCATATAATTTATTATAAAATTATTTTTTAATTTTACTTAAAAAACATTATAATATCATATTATTCTGAAAATAAGCATTATATTAGAATATACACTTCTTAAATTAGATTAATTCTAAAATTTCTAAAATCTTAAAAATGTTGTAAAATTTCATTATGATTATGATTAAGTATCAAATAATTATGATTTGTATCATCTTCAACCTCATCATCATCTACTTGTTTATTATAAACATTATATTATCTACTTCTTTATTTTTAAGAACATTATTATCATTATTAATCTCTTTGCTGATTTCATCATCTGATCAAGAATTTATAATCATTTTGTTTAGAATTCTTTTAAGCCCATTTAAATTACTCATAAATATTAGATATTTTAACATAATATAGATTTTTTAATGTAATTATCTCAGCTTTCCCTTCAAGATTTAGACACACTACTATAGTTGCTTGACGAAACCTCAGGGTATTGACAATTGTCAAAAGTCGAAACCTATTTAGACGTTTTGACTTTTTATTTTTAAAAGTCGAAACTGTCGAAAGGTTTAAATAATGTTGAAAGGTTTAGACATTGTTGAAAGTATAGTTGCTTACCATAACCTTAGAATTTTAATAATTTCAAAAATTGTAACATGTTTAAACCTTTTTTTTTTAAAAAAAATGTCAAAACTATCAAAAGATTTAAATAATGTCAAAGGTTTAAATAATAATTAGTATTAGTTTTAATATAAAATCAATAATTATTATTATAATTTAAACATTAAAATAATATTTATTAAGTAATACTATTTGTTCTTTATTTGATAAATGAATAATAATAAACAAATGATTAAACTAAAAATTTGTTATAAACAATTTCAAAAAAAATCCAAAACTAATCATCATCATTATATATTAAATCATTTGTATTCCAATCAAAAATACCAACACCTTCATTTATATTATCTAATTCTTTTTCTTTAGAATTTTCTTTTAATGAAGAATCAGAAGAGGAATCATCATCAAGACTATATTCTAAATCTTCATTAAAATCTTTTTTATCCAATTGTAAGGATAATTCCAAAAATAACTTCAAAGTAGCAGTTACTGATCTTGTATTTGAAGAAAAACAATCTTTGAATTGTAACATTTCTTCTTGATTAATATTTTCTTCTTCTTCTTCTAATATTTGTCTATTTGCTTCATATAAAATTTGTAAAACTTGACTTTTAGTCATTTACTGAAAAAAAAGGAAAATAAGAAAGTTATTTTTTAGCATTACTATTAAAAAAATAATTAATTTTTGCAATTGATTTCAAATTTTTAACAGTTAGTTGAAGACGTTTGTTATTTGTTAACCAACTAAGTAAAAAAAAATTTCTTTCACAAGAAGTAAGTACTATTTAGAATAATAGCCAAAACCTTTAAAGCTAATTCTTGAAGATAATCTGATTCAGGTTTAATTGTTTCTTACCATCTAAGTGGAATTTCATATCTAGGTTCATATGAATCATCATATAGATATTGAAAGGTTTTATATAAATGAAGTTGTGAAGTTAAAATATAACTATTTGCAAGATCATTATCCATTTTTTTCCATATATTACCAGCAGTTTTAACAATACGTTTAAATTGACCATTTGTAATCCCAAACTTAATATAATAAAAATAAATAAAAAACTTTAACAAATAATAATAATTAATGAATAATACTTACCTCTGAAATTTGACATTAAAAAATCAAATCAAGTATTTAAAGTTTCAATACAATATAAACGAAATTGAATATATTGATAAGGTAATAATTTTTTAATTGCTGCTGCAATTTTAGCTAAACTCACAAAACAATTTCCAAGTGTTGTATTATGTATTTCTAATGTTAATACTGTTTTTTTAGTGGAAAAAGAACAAAATAAAGAATTTTAAATGAACAATAAATTTATAATGACTAATAATATAAATAACATATTCATTAGTTACTAAATCTTGATAATTTTGAATCATCTAATAAATAAAGTTAGTAAATTAGTTAATTATTAATTAATTTTAATTAAAATAATAAAAAAAATTCAAATATAATACTTTCTTCTTTTAAAACTAACTCTAAATGTAATATACTTTCAACACATTCACAAGCAGTTGTCTATTGAGTTTTATAATATGATTTGAGATCACATCTAAAATATTTTTTCC